AAGGGGCCACTGTCTTCACTAAACTCGATTTAAGGAACGCTTATCACCTTCTCAGGATTAGAGAAGGTGACGAATGGAAGACTGCCTTCAAAACTCCTTTAGGTCAGTTTGAATATTTAGTCATGCCTTTTGGTCTCACTAACGCTCCAGCATGTTTCCAAGCCCTGGTCAATGATGTCCTCAGAGACTTTTTGAACGTTTTTGTCTTCGTTTACATTGATGACATCCTAATTTACTCTAAAGATCTCTCCGAGCATAAGAAACATGTTCGCCTGGTCCTACAGAGATTACTGGAAAACAAACTTTTTGCAAAAGCCGAGAAATGTTAATTTCACCAGTCTTCAGTGACAATTTTAGGGTTTGTGCTCGAGGGCGGGCAGGTTAAGCCATCCGAAGAAAAGATTGGATTGGCCAGTTCCTGAAAACCGTAAACAGCTGCAGAGATTCCTGGGCTTCGCAAATTTCTACCGTCGCTTCATCAGGAATTACAGTCAGACAGCTTTACCTCTCACAACTCTAACTTCAGTCAAAAAGACTTTCCAGTGGACCCCCGAAGCTCAAAACGCCTTTGACAAACTTAAGACTTTGTTTTCCAGAGCCCCCGTGCTAATCCAGCCTGATCCAACCAATACCAAACATTAGCATTCAGACAAGTTGGAGCTTTAGGTAAAACACGCTGATTCAACAGAGTTTGCCCTGCAACCAAAGGGTTGTCGGTTCAAGCCCTGTCTTCAGCTTTCAGTGTTGTTGCGTCCTTAAGCAAGAAACTTCACCTGAATTGGCTATTGATGGTGGTCGGAGGGACTGGTGGCGCAAATGTACAGCAGCCTCTCTTTTGTCAGTGAGCCCCAGGGCAGCTGTGGCTGTAATGTAGTTTGCCATCATCACCTCCACAAGGCTGTAAAGGGCTACAGGGAAATTGCCAATCAGCTTGGTTAAAAAAGGTCCACTGTTGGAGCAATCATTAGAAAATGGAAGAAGTTAAAATTGACTGTCAACCTCCCTCGGACTGAGGCTCCATGCCAGATCTCACCTTGTGGGATCTCAATGATCCTAAAGGGCAGATTAGGCTGCTGCAACTGCACACATCAAATTTCGCTTGGGTCTGGTCGCGAACCAGTTTTGCTGGTATGCTTCTGCACCGTTGGTCTGGAATTTCTAGGGAAGTTCAGCAGTTTCCCACCAATTCTAGAACTCGTGACAACTCCTTGATTAACCTTTCGTCGTAATTGTTCATTGTTGTTGTTACTCGGTTTTAAAAATGGCATACTAAGGACCAATCAAAGCTGCTTTTTGCCTGCGCACTTCCGCTACAGGTCCGACGCGTAGTCAGGATTTTTTTGAGGTGCGCAACGATGATTGCAGAACCTCTGCGCTGGGAGGCGTGGTCACGTACAGAGACAGATTTGATGGTTGCGATAAAGACACTTTTGATGCAGCAAAGTGCGCCCCTCTTTTATAATATCCGTTCTCATTTAGGTCTGCGCCCTTAAAATAATTAATGAACATTGAGCGAAGCCTGGTCCTTGCTACAATTGACTCTTGGTACAGGAAAGTCATAATCATTTGCAGGTTTAACTGAACTGAAGATATTTGTCGATGTTCTTCAGCCAGAGTCTTTGATGTGCCAAACTGTCTCTCGATCCATTCCTTATCTCTGCTGTCCTCCAAAGGGCCGTGGTGACAGGAATCAAGGGCCCACTCATGTTCTCTGGTGACATGGTGCAGAGTAAAAATTAAGCTGCTATGTGGTTGCATTGTTCAAATAATGAGGACAGCCATTACAAAAAAATAACATAAGATTTCTATTTAAAAACGGCAGGACACCAAAGCACTCTAAGCACTATATATATATATATA